AGTCTGAGCGGCCGCCGCTGGGGCAGTAGAGGAGAAGAAGGAGGATGGAAGTGGTGGTGCAGAAGGAGTGTCAGAGTTAGTTGGCGGAAGAGAGGACGAGGAAGAGGCGGGCGGGGGGACGATGGCTGGAGCAGTGCGAGAGATGCAGTTGATCCGAAGATGTCCAACAAGTCCGATTCGTGCCCGGAATGTCCGTTGACATCGAGGACACGTAGGGGGAGGTTGTGCGGCGGCGTTGCGGACTGGGCGAAGTTGTGATTTGCGGGCTTCGCGTTTCGCTTTGGCGGCGGCGATTCGGTTGGCTTCATAGATAGCAGCGCCCGTCTTCACTGTTCTCCTCCATGTCGGACGATCGCGAGCGAGCTCTTCCCGGTTGGTCGGGTTGATTTGCAGGCGCTTCAGGGAGGACTTCAGAGTATCCTTGTAACGGCGAATTTGGCCTCCTTGACGACGAGAACCCGTCGCGACGTCTCCGTAGAAGAGTCGTTTGGGTAGTCGCTCGTCGTCCATGCGCAACAGGTGGCCGCTCCAGCGCAGCTGCATTTGTTTCAGTATGGCGTAGATGCTGGGGATTCCCGTTCGTTCCAGCACTTCCGTGTCGGGGATTCGATCCTGCCAGTTCAGCCTCAGGATGCGACGGAGACAACTGAGGTGGAAGTGGTTCAGTCGGCGTGCCTGTCTCGTGTACACCGTCCATGTCTCTGCTCCGTACAGTAACGTCGGCAGGATGACGGCCTTGTACATCTTCAGCTTCGTGCTCAGTCGGAGACCGTGGCGATTCCAAACTGTGCTTCGGAGACGACCGAAGGCTTGACTGGCTTTCGAGATCCTGTTGGCGACTTCGTCATCAATCTTGGTGTTGTGGGAGAGGGTACTGCCCAGATACGGGAAGTTCTCCACCACTTGCAGTGGAGTCCCATTCACGTTGATTTGCGGCGCGTTGGGGGCTGCGGCTGAGTTGGGCGGCGGTTGGTGCATCACCACCGTCTTCTGCGTGTTGATAACCAGCCCAAAGTTCTCGCAGGCGGCGGCGAATAGGTCCATGCTCCGTTGCATCTCCGCTTCGGAGGTGGTGTTCAGGGCGCAGTCGTCGGCGAAGAGGAGTTCGTGCACGGTAGTTGTGGATACGCGCGATTGGAAGTTCATGCGCCGGCGATTCAGGAGATGACCGTCCGTTCTGTAGGCGATGCGGATTCCAGGGCGTTCGTCGCGGTAGGCGTCCATCGGCATGGCAGAGAACATAAGACTGAAGAGGGTTGGTGCCAGCACGCATCCCTGCTTCACTCCGTTGGTCACTGCGAATGCCTCTGAGACAGCGCCGTTGTCCGTGACTCGCGCCATCATACCGTCGTGCAGCTGACGCCGGGAACCAAAATTTGATGTCTTTGCATTGTTCTGTTTTTTACATTCAAATTTAACGAAAAGACGTTCTGAAAATCGCCATTTCTGCGATACGGTTCTGTTTCCAAATAAAAAGGATGAATACTGACTAAGAATTGAGCTTTTCGGTGTTTTTGGCGGCCCTTTTGAGACATAGAACACACATTTTCGTGATGGATTTATGTCGACATTAACCATGAACTTTCAGACCTTGCGTCTGCGATCGAAAAGTCAGTCGACAAAAATGCAGCTTTATGTCATCGTACGGCAACATACTAACGAAATTTTTTACACACCACTTTACCGCCGGCAAACCCACGCGACAGTTAGCCTTTGTTATATGACTCACCACCCTGTCTCTCATCAGCCAACTATTGTTAGCCGTCTGCTTCACAATATGTCAGCAGCTTTTTCATGAGTGATATAATGATTTCGGTTCGAATTATGTCACAGAATTCGTGTTGACGACGGTTCATAAAACGTCTGTCTGCCAATTTTTACCATGAGCTACGCATAAGGGGACGTTTCACCTAACCATAGCTAGGTTTTGATAAGGCTTTTACAAGCAGGTATCCGTACAATCGCACTTGTTCATAAAGCTTTAAAATACCATGAATATGCATGTAGCCCAGAGGATAATTCCTACGGACATCAGTGTGCTCTGCGTAGGTTTTATGTTATAGGGCATTGTCAAATTAATTACGGAACGCATATTTGAGAGTGCATCTTGATTTCCAGTCAAAATCTCCACGATGTGCTTTACTTGTTTCTTCACTTATCTGAGGATTTCGGCTTTCGAATGAACTTCTTTTCGAATGCATGAAAAAACTACTCTATGTAAAACACGACTTCTTATATAGCATTCATTCCTCTCATTTATTTTTGATGCCCCTAAATGTCCACTTATATTTCATGGAAAATATGCGCAAAAATATTCATTCCTTCGCTCATTCTGTAGATAGGTACGTCTTTTTCCAATCTTATACTCAAAGAAAGGGTAAAATTCGGCTTTCAAAAACTTTTCCAATTCCCGAAAAATTTTGGACCCGCTCCACCGTTACACTTGGATGCAGGGCTTCCAAACCACAACCTGTGTATTTTCCGCGTACGGACAACCACACATTTCTCTACTGTAATGAAGGCAGACCATTTGGGGTTCATAAAATTTAGCAGTGGATTCGATCCGTATTGTTAGCTATACAAACTACATTGGTAAAGGCAGTGACATGACGATTTATGAATGCCTAGTTCCCGGTACTTAAAGATCTCACAATTAGAAACTTTGTTAAGACGGAATTAAGTCCCTCCTTCATGTGCAAGATTGGGGGACGAATTTTCTCCTGAACGAGCAAAAAATCACGGCGGCGAAGTTTATTACATGGGGGCGGGCGGGCGGGGCGGCGTGCGGCCGGGTGGGTGGTTGGCTAGCTTAGTGGATTTGACCCATGCCAATTGTGGGCGCAACCTGTAGGAAATTCTTCTGGGCGCATAGCACCGGTGCGCTCCGCGTAGCCTGATTGCAGCCGCCTCTGCCGTAGCCAAGAAGCGCTGCCCAAGCAGTTTTTGGATAGTTTGATGGCTGGCAACTTGTAAATTACTCTGAAGGACCCTCTGGTCTACGTACACGGTGGTCTGCGGCGGCGTCTACCACGTGAGCGCGCGACGATCTAGCTCTTTATGCTTCTTATTTGACCCTTTCCATACCTGGCCTGCTGGGAGATGTTCTTTTGTATTTTTGTCGGCTCCTGCCATCAATATATTCTTCCCAGCCCACAGGTGGATCAGGTGAGGGATGTGTAAATACGCATAGATGTGCTCTGAGCTGGCACAGTTTTTCCTTTCCCCCTCCCTCCCTGGATAGTAGAATGGGAATGCTGGGTGTCAGCTGCTATAATGCTCCGTGATAATACAGCTTGAGTTAGGCGGCGGCGGCGTCTTTTTAACAGTTGGCTTGCCAGCATTTATCTATCCACTACCAGACGCTCATCTTCGCCAATTTCTTCCACCATGGCTGCCTGTTCACATACCTGACGCCCCAGCTCTTCCACCTGCTTTACAACACGCCTGCTTTCTACTTCATTTTCGGCCTATCTTCTCACAGGCCTATCACAGGAGGTGGTGATAACCCTACTACTCACTCCGTCGCATTCATCTCCAGTAGGAGATGGGGTACACATTCCCTCCAGGAGGAGGCATCCCTTAATAAACAACCTGACTTGTACTTTCGCCTGCACAAGCTTGGTGGTGCTGCTGCTGCTGAACCCTATGTACCCCCATTGAGTGCCTTCAACAACACCGCGGCATATTTGGACTGTTTTAGAGTTGCAAATTTGCCATTGTAGGTTTCAAAAGGCAATTTGGCGAGCATAGGTCTGCCCTGGATAAATTCTCTTTAGGCCTGTATGTCTACTATTGAAGATGTAATGAATGAAAAGGCGATAGGGGCACGTGGATAATTAAGCTGTACGTGGGGATTGGAGGGGGGAGGGGAGGGGAGGGGAGGGGGAGAGTGAAAGAGCACAATTGCAGTCAGAGTCAGCGAGAAGGTGGGTCACGGCGGCGAAGGTTATTACATGGGGGCGGGCGGGCGGGCGGGCGTGCGTGGGCCGCGTGGGATTTTGGCTGGTTTAGTATTTTTGACCCATGCCAACTGTTGGCGCAACATGTAGGAAATTCTTCTGGGCGCATAGCACCGGTGCGCTCCGCGTAGCGTTTTGTCTTTGTCGGTAATATCATTCTGCCTATACATAAAATTATTCAGTCTTTCGCTCATTCTGTAGAAAGATACGTCTTTTTCCAATCTTATACTCGAAAAAAGAGTATCATTCGACTTTCAAAGACTTTTTCAATTCCCGAAAAATTTTGAACCCACTCCACCGTTACACTTGGATGCAGGGCTTCCAAACCACAACCTGTGTATTTTCCGCGTACGGACAACCACACATTTCTCTACTGTAATGAAGGCAGACCATTTGG